ATGTGCGAGACACAAGAAGAAACAAATATGATTAATAAATAAGTACATTTTGCCTCGGAGTCTGAAAAGCCCTATCATAAAATATGGTGTTTGTTTCAAATGGATACGCCTATCTATCAGAGATTATATTTCAACCCTGAAAGATAATTTACTACGAGCTGTTGATAAATTTAACCGATCAGCACCATTTGACCCCTCGCCAATTATTTTTTTTTTCTGGTCTTTCTAAATTCAAAATAAGATTACTCTTCCAACAGGACTAGCAGACCTTGAAAAATGAAACTTAAAGTGTATAAAGTCCGAAAGTAACACCTCGTCGCATGGTTTAGAAATATTAGTGGTTTCTACTTTTTTTTTCTTATGGACTTTATCTCTTAGCCAAGATAATAATCCACATATACATAACTAACCTCAAATGAAAGTCACGTTTTATCGTGGACCTTATCATAAATCATTCAATCGTAAGAGATATCAAAAATCATCAAAGAAGATCCGTTTAAAAGGAAATTGGATAAATATTTCATTTCCAAACTGTTCAAAATCTGATGTCTCTCATTTATTATAATAAGATATTGGCTGAAGGTATGAATGAGAATAGCCATTTCAATGTGAAAATGTTTTTGATCTTGGTTATTCTCAACAACCAAAAATTGGAAATGAGTAGTTCTTTGTTTGGAGAAATTGTTTTCCTATCGCACACTCGTTAACCCTGAGGAATTTCTCTGCTTATCAGCTGGTTGGGCACCCGTGTGTGTTAAAAGCATTAAATAGGCTTTGTGGCAAACCAAGCAAATTCTGTAAAATGATTCGTTGCTTTGGTTGGAGTGTAAAAAATAGATTTCCAATTACTTAAGATGCACCAAAAGTTGCTGTGAAGTCTTGAGTTGCATTGGGGAAAGTGAAAGCACCGCTCAGCGAAATATTTTCCTCAACATAAGCCGTGAACACTAAGAAGTTTATTTGAGATACAGTGCGTTTGAAGTTGACTTGGCCTTCAAAGAAATGTTTAGACAAACGTAACGCAGTCAGAAGTAAATCAAAACAATTGCGTATCTTTCGACCTTAATTCGAAGGTGGGTATTTATTCTGACTGTGTTATATTTCAGTATTAGTTTGTACACCTGAGCTCGGTCTTCTAATAATAGGGCTCATCCTTACAAAATCTTCAATCGACACATAGCTGATATGGTATCTGGCATAATACGACGAGAACCTGTTGTGTACGAAAACTTCGGTGACCACTGTAGCTTCATAATCTACTATCCGTGAGCTACAGCCTTCTTCAACAAAACTCTGGGCTGCGTAAGGAATGAATCAAATTCTAATAATAAGTCGCACGACGTATCACCTTCGAATCAAATTTTTGTTTAGGCAAGCATAACTGCATAAACAAAAATTCAGGAAAATTGTTTCAAAAATTCTAAATTTCATTGTTTCCCTCATCCAGATTTAATTTTGAAATGCGATTCAACGAACTCTTAAAATTTCTTAGCCAAAAGCGCATTTTTGTCCTCGAAATGGATGACTACCTTGCGTCAAGATAATGGAAATTGCGTGCCGGTTACCTGGTCTAAATTGCAGTGACTAATGAATTTGTCTAATGCATCTCTATTAAAAAACGAAATCGCGTTCCTTCCAACATTTAAAATTAGTAGAATATGCACGGAACCAATTGAAAACTCCAAAATTGAACCATTTCAATGATTGCATAAAATGTGGTATTTATATTTAGAAGCACGTCCAATGTAATCCTTTTGAATTCCCAAAGCTAAGTTTTCATACGCGAGTTTGTCATAAATAAATCATGGCCAAAATAGTATTTATATTTTACTGCTGGGTATAAAACGTGCCACCAAATTTGAACCTCTTAAAACTAAAAACAATATATCAACGTTTTCCTCCTTCTTACAGGCCTGTCACAAAAACAATAGAACACACAAAACAGGTTTTACAAATTCCAACTTCTGAAAGGCGATCCACATCTTAAATCTGTCCATGACTAAAACGCATTCGTTACTTCCATATCTTTTACTTCTTAGATAAACATTTGTAATCAGTGAAAAGCCACCGCGTGCAACTTTAAAAGGCGTAGGAGGTTCGATTTCTTCTGAGCCAATCCTTCAAAGCTTTAAAAAATTATCTTACTGGAAAAATTTGCGAGTACGCTCCGAAAATCCGTTCATCTCAATGCACCCGTTTTAAATCTTGCCATCAACAAAGAAATAATACCACTCAGAGAGATATCGCAGCATGGAGTATCTCCCCTTTGTCAAACAAGGATTAGTGGTAAAAGACAAAATAAGCGCTTTTTTTTCGGTTTTCAATTAAAACGATTTCTTTATCTAGAGGATCGGCGGCATCTGTAAAAATCCCCGGCGCAGCATTTAAACATTTCTCAAGTGCAGGCAGTATAAAAACGATATAGCTGCTTGGTAGTCTGCCTTCCAAGAGTTCTGTTTACAATCGAAACTGTAAGTATCAATAACAGCTTCTCCTTGGCCATTAATTCACAATGTCATTCATAATCCCTTTTTGACATTGTTTATCTCCCTAGAACATCATGTTTTAAATGCAGTTTGACAATTGCGGCGACTTCATTGTTCTTAAAAAAAGAGAAAGAAATAGAAGTGATTTTCACAAGCAAACCATTACTAGGTAATCTTTGTGATAAAAGTGTTCGCGATTACTTTCTTTAACGATTCCTTGCATCGTCTTCGGCCTTGTTTGCGATAAAAATTAGAGAATAATCCCGATGATAAAGGCACAAAATTCGAGATAATGCAAATTTTGGCATTTTTCCATATTATCGGCTTCCCACAAAACTACAATGATAGCACCGACCTTAACGGGTCAGTGCAATTGGTTGGAGAGAGCAACTTTTTCTAAGTTACTCATTGCCTGTGGTTAGCCTAACAGATAGATTGTGGACTACTGGGTTAGGAAAATCCAATTATCAAGGCAGGCGTTTGACACGATAATGCGAGTATGTCATGCAGAGAAAACCAAACGCTAAGAAAGCTTTCGAAAAGGTATAAGATGTTGTTTCAAGATACAAATTACGCCTAGAGTTTCCTAACCTTAAAATGAAATAAAATCGAATAAGAGTTTTAAAATATAACTGACTTTTCAATTTTTAACCTTTTGAAAAATATTTTCATTAATTAAGACTTTCAAGAAAACTAAACTATTACCGGAAAACTCCTTTGTTTTGAGATGAAACTCGTCAATTTGAAATGAATCATTCATATTTATAAAAAAATTCATATACGAACTACAAGAATCATCAAACAATGATCCACCGGAGAGAAGTGTCGGAAGCCGTTCAAATGTTATAGGTAAGCCTGGAATGTTCTTTCGTTTTTTCTGGTTCAAAAACAAAGATGTATTTTGTAGTAATAGTACAAAGACTGGACCTGACATGTAAAAACCTCTATCATTTGAGGCTGTGATGAAACCATGGGTATTGAAATTTTCCTTGGCATTCTACGTCGAGTTAGCCAAGAAGAAGGCTTAAGGTAATATCAACAGTGAGAACATAACAATAATGTCCACCAATTAAAGAGAAAATAGGAACAGCAAAAATCGTCATCAAGTCACGACTTTGAAAAAATAAAAGATCACAGGTACCGCTGGGGGAGCGCGTTCAGCGGAAGAATGAAGGATCGATGGACAAATGTTAAACTGTTTTGTTTCGCTCTTAATCACGCCATAATGAGGGTGGAGGTGCAGATACTTTAGTTCTGGGCTTATGTTTACGTGTGTTCCATATGTCTATGTTATTCCCTTATAGCAAAACTTATGCAGTTATTCGTTGTCTATGACATCTGTCGCGGCACCGGTATCGGAGAGGTCGTGGGTTCAAATCCCGTAAAGGCCTAAATCTTTTTCAGGCCTTATTACCACCACTGCTTAAGAAGTTTTTACCACTACGAAGATTGCTTTCATATTCAATTTACTGATCTGCAGTTCAAACGTATGATTTTCATATAATCACAGTTATTTTTCATCACTTCACGGGTTTATTTGGAACCAACATAATGACTAGCTACCAGTTGGCTAGTTAGCTCAGTTGGTAGAGCACTACACTGGTATCGCAGAGGTCACGCACATGCCTGAATTTTTTTCAGGTCTTATTTTGAATAAGTAGTGTTCCTTACTGAGAAGATCAATTTCTCATTCACATCTGTCTCGACCTCTGTAAATTTTTTATCCTATTGTAATCGCTTTGTAAGTCAGTAAGCCAACAGTTTTACCTATGAATATCAAAAACTTATCCTTCCACCCAAACGCCAATCCAAATGCGGTCTTGAAAGGCAAAACAAATATCTGGGTATATTATTATTCTGATCTTTTAGGAGTGTTGGGGATTGCTTCAATTAGGTCGCCCTAAGCACCATTACCTAGCCTGGTAGCTTGCGGCCATTTCTAGCCAGCAGCTGTGTTATCATTGCTGTTGTCGATGTCCCAGCTCTCAGTCTATGTTTATACTGAAGATGAACAGTTTTATAAGTAATCTGAACTTGCTTTTCCGTGCTAGGTCTTTTTAAGTACAATATTAGGTAATTTTCTCTATTCCTGCTTTTACTTTTTTGCTTAGTTTCATGAAGTTTTGCCTTCTTGTAAAGCTATTCTTAATTGTGGTCATATCTCATATTGTGTGTTTCCTTGGTTTCATATGTAAGGTTTTATTTTGCATTTCATTGTATATTTTGGCTTGGTTAATTATTTTTCGTTAGCTTTGTTTCTGCTTCGGTTGAAGACTAGTGAAGGGCAACGTGATTCAGTCACGATCGTTTTCTATCGCTTCGATCGTTTCGCTTCGTTCCTCTTTGATTGTATCGATTCGTTTGTTTGGATCCTTGAGATGAATTAAGCGGGTAAGCGTGAAACGTTAAACAGGGCCTGATGTATTCATTCGTACGTTCTACTAGAGATCACTAGGCGTGGCAATAAAGAGCGCCGCCTCGCATTAATGACAACAATTGTAATTTTTTTAGGTTGTTCCTGAGTTTGTGACGGCAAATGCGTGCGAAGCTTTGGAAACTTGTTTTAATCTTCATTGCATGTTCAGCTGCTGGTTACTCTAGCGCAAGTGAGGATGGGCGTCAAAATGGGACGTTTGTGAACACAACCATATCCACCAACAGCATTGCAAGGTGAAAAGTAATTTAACTAAATTACAAAATCATAAGTTTAGACGGATATGAAAATAAAGCGGAACTAATATTTCATTCTTTTTTTTTTTTTTTTTGAGAGTGTAGAGCACGTAAAGAAACTGATTCTTCAATAAATGAACCCCAGACCTTTGCATTTAGCACTATGAAAGGTTCTACCATTAAGCAAAAGCGAAATCTATAGAGAGATGGACCATATACTTGGTTCAAATTTGACAAATCTTTCCCCATACTGTTGGGATCAAATCATTTCTAAAGCATCGAGTAAGTAAAAAGATGTTAATCCTTTTTTTCTAATTCGTTTGCAGTCCTCCGGGGCCGACGAAGAGCGTGGAAACTAATGACGCTGAAATTCTCTTGGCACGGATATTGAATCAGATTCAGAACAAATCTGACAATAGGCTGAGACCCAAAATAGGCCGTAAGTACCTATTGACTATAGTCGCATCATTACGACGTAAAACGGAAGGGCCCTAAGTGCAACACATGCTCTCTCTAGCCACACATCTCACAGGTACGAGCATTAAACAAAATGGCATGACATATGTAGCAGTTGACGTGTTGTTTCCACGGTATGAGTGAAGAACTCCGCATCGAAATTTTCGGGTTCAAATCCTGGCCGGGGTTATTTTGATGCAATCTTGGAGATTAGCTTGTGCCTTTTACAGTATCCCATATGTGTGGAATAAAAACTTTCCTTGTCGTTTCATGAAACACGAACCGCGATAAGCTAAGAGCAATCATTAATTGAGCGTCGAAAGTAATCTTGGATTGATTTGGTTTTGCTTTGCCTTTCTCTGTGATTTTTTCCAGAAAACTCGTGCCACTCTCTCAATCAATCAAATGCAAAACTAACACCATTCACGAATTGGTCGACGGCGCTTTCAAGGCTTTGAGTATTTTGCTTGTTTTTACTTCGTGTTCTTATAGGCTTTTACGGACATTTTTCGTTCTGATCGGCCGTTTTGATAACTTTGATTTTATTTTTACGAAATTCAATCAAAATGCCCGTTATGTAATTATGAGAGTAAGTCTCTTGTTTAGAAGTTTTATCTTTAGGGCAATGCGGAAAATTGCTAGCTCTAAGCAAACTAAGGGATTCAGAAAATGTTCAGAAATAATCTTAAGAATCATTTCTACATACTGAATAATTCATTGATGTATCACCAATTCGAAACAGTTTTCCCTCCTCCACCAACCCCCAGTGCTAGTTATGGGATGTTTACCAAGCAGTTTTATTATAATTGCAGGAGAACCAATCACAGTCTCTACGGATATGTTTGTTTTAGACATTGGATACATAAGTGAGGCAAACATGGTGAGTCAGAAGTGAGGCTTACACCAACTTTTCCTATGTTCTAGTCACGAGCCACAAACAATAAGTGAGAGAACAATGTCACAGCCAAACTAAATGCATAACGCGGTACGTGTAAATTGCAAAGTTTGTGCCCGGAGTATTCAGTATCCTCTGAGAGAGGCCAACCCAAGAGTTTTCCGTCGACTGCGAGGAAGGTGATGTTGATTCTTTTTCCCATTCTCAAGATGGAGGCCAAACATTCTTCGCGCGGACATCCTTCGAGCAGCATTTAATTGTTCTTAACCAGAACATTCAAAAAACATTCAACACCAGATACCTTGAGCTTAATGATATGTCAGCTTTCAAGAAAAGTTTGGAATGAGGTCTTAAGGAAGAGTTTATTTCTTTAACTTGACAATTTCATATTTTGCCTCTCTACTGAATCAAGTTCCTTCTTCATTTCCATAACCATCGTGTTTCTTTGGAACTTCATCGCCGGTTATCAGAGACAAAATTGACTCTTTTTCAAACAAGAAACAAATCTTACATATTTAATTTGTCTCGCGTTTATAGCATTTATGTCATTATTCCATCCTCTTCACTTAGGTATGTGTTCATTAAGTTATGAAAAAAGTGTTCTATGCTATCATATCGCTCTTTATACTTTTAAAAGGAATTTCGAACGAGCTTCTTCTTGCGAATGTACTGGAAAGACGAAAGACTAGCTTACAATAACACGGGATACAAAAAGAGGCTGGCCTTGAATGCCAAAATGGTTCAGCACATGTGGATACCTGACATATATTTTGTTAATGAGAAATCCGGGATCAAGCACGATCTCACCAAGGAAAACGAAGTGGTTCGACTGTGGCCAGATGGAAAGGTCTTTCATAGCATGAGGTATGCAGTCGTCCGGATAGACATAAGTAACTAGTTTTAGACATGTTAGAAAGGCGAATCGCGTTATCTGGCCATGAAAAATTTTAGAGTCTTTTATATCAAGTTTGGTAACACCAAATCAACAAAATTATTAATGCCAATCAGAACATAGAAAATAAACTTTAAAGCATTCCTGTATTATTTATTTGATGCCAAAGAGACTATCCCCTGGACAGTGGCTTACATATATTTTTATTACTTCGCTGAAGATTGTCGATGACAGCATCCTGCCCTATGCGTCTCCACAACTATCCACTGGACAAACAAGTTTGCAGGCTGGCGTTTGAAAGTTGTACGTAATGTTATTAATTGTAGTACAAAATATTGTATATTTATCGTGGATATGATAATATAATCAGGCTGCATCGTTTGTTTTACGACATGAGGTCCGTATCAATTGAAATTCGACATCTTGATTGCCATATCACAAGTCTTCGTTAGCGTACAGTAGTTTACTGCTATTCACACATATCAGAGCGAGCTTTCATCACAGCATTTCGATACACGTTTTCAATATCCTGGCAACTTGATTTTCTCACCTATTTTGTGACTGACTCGCTGGATAACTTGTGACGTCACTTACTAACCATGTCGCCCTAAGTCACCTCGCTCCTTTCTGTGTAAACTAAGTCTTATTTTCTCCAGCTAGTGCCATAGATAATCTTCGGTAGTTGACTAATTCGAGCAAATATGCTTGAACACTAGGTATGCCCCATTACAACTGACATAACAATAAAGCCTCAGCTACTTAGTCATATTTATAATCTGTATTGTGTTCTAATTAATAGTCAGTTACGAAAACACTGAACTATTGTTTCAATGGAAAAAGGAGAAAGGTAACAAAGAAGTTGCTGTTCAGAATGAATTAGAAATACCCCAGTTCATTCTCACGGATTACTGGACTAATTCTACCACTGCTAACTTCACCTCAGGTATGATTAATGAGGAAACACGTTCCAATATCATTTCCAAAGAGCAACACCTTTTTTTCTTAAAGATTTAGGGATCGCGTACGTAAGGGAACTGAACTATCATGTGGGCCTTAATGTAAGGTAGCTTTCCCTAAACGATTTCATCGTCTTGTAATTCGTAGAACAATCAAAAGTAATACTACAAGGCAAAACTCATTCATGAGGGGAACCCATTTAGTTCCTATCCATGCTCTAAGAAATAATTCTAGCAACGCGGCTAATAAAAGTAGTATTGTTTTAGAAAACCAGATATCTGGAGCCTGAAATAACTTTGAGAGTGCTTTTGAAAGGTGGTCCTTCGGAAGAATCCTAATTTTGAGCATGACCCTTCCCTGGTTCTAACCAGGTGGTTCGTTACCGCCAAATGCCCCCTCCCTTCCTTCCTTCCTTGTTACTACCGACCCACTGTAAGGGGAAGAGTTCTGGCCATGAATTAAACTCAAACTTCATTACATCTTTAGGTGCCTATTCCCGACTTATAGTGTGGTTTCAGTTCGAGCGCAGCATCGGCTTTTTCTTGATCCAGACCTACATTCCAGCGTATCTGATTGTTATGCTCAGTTGGATCGCCTTCTGGATCAGTCACAACTCGACTCCAGGTCAGTGGATAAAATCTCAAGTTTTAAAAAAATTACAACCCATCATTGTCCTCATAATTCTATCATTCTCCCTTATCATTGTTTTCGCTTTGTAGAGAATACTAACAACAATGCTGGTTCCACCCTTGAAAAAATCATAAAGGTTAAAAGCATAGTAGTGCTGGAGAACAGTAGCTGGGACTCTTAGCATCTTTGCTTCACCGAGCGCGCCGTGTTTTGACCTAATGTGAAATGAAATTTAAATTTTGTTGTTGTAAATAAAAAAAAGAAACTCTCCAAGTATATGTAGATTGTACACTTTCAGAACTTAAATTCAACTCTGTTATTCGGTTCACTTATTTTTTTCATTGGCTTATCCGTTCCTCTTCCCTTAGAATATCGTTATTTTTCGGCGGTTTACGAGACAAAAGACGCGAGCCAACGTACATGGATTGCGTGTACTTACTTGTTTTCATTTCGTACTTTTCAGCGCGCATAGCTCTTGGGATTACAACAGTCCTCACCATGACAACGCTTACCAACAGCGCCCGTGCCTCTCTCCCTAAAGTGTCATACGTTAAGTCCATTGAATGGTTTCTGATTCTGTGTTTCCTCTACGTGTTTGCGTCCCTGGTGGAATATGCCTGTGTGTCTTTTGAGATAAACAAAAAAATCAAGAAAGGTATGAAGATTCCCGTGGTTCAGACGGAGTCAGACGATGGAAAGGTGAGCTATTTCGTATTTGGAAAGATGTGTGTCCCCTTCCCTAACCCAACAACAGTCAACTTATAACAAGCTCGGGTAAATGTTGGGTTAAAAAAGAGGGTTGATGCGCAGTTGCTAAGATACTAGCATGATCCGAAAGATGCACCATTATCTTAACTAGTAGTTTTCATTTCATTCGTGTGCTTGTTCGCACAGGATTTAAAAATATGTTGCTAAGATACTGGCATGATCCGAAAGGTGCAACACTATCTTAACTAATAGTTTGCATTTCATTCGTGTGCTTGTTCACACAGGATATTAAAAAAAACGTTGCTAAGATACTGGCATGATCCGAAAGGTGCAACACTATCTTAACTAATAGTTTGCATTTCATTCGTGTGCTTGTTCACACAGGGTATAAAAAAATGTGGTAAGAATAAAAAAGACTGGCACACATGCAGGCCGTAACCGAGTTAAATATAGATCGTAGGCGAGTCTGTAAGTAATGTTCTTGCATCTTAGCGACGGCTTTTGTAACCTGAACAAACATACAGCAAAATGTATTCGATTTGTTTTCTACTATGAATAACAGCTGGATTATAGTTCGTGTTAAAATATTATTTAATACGTCACGAGCTCTTTTCGCTTTCCTCCTTGTGAACAGCTTCTTTTTAGCTTATTTAGCTTGTTTTGACTTTTCCTGGTTTTAGCCTTTTTTCGTCCGATTGTTTGTCTGTTAAGGCCTTTACTTTCCGGGCTTGAAGAATCTCGCTCCTAATTTGTGGCGTCAGTCGTGTATCAGAGCGCATAATAACACATTGCAGTGTGTAGATAGAGAACAGCTTGGCTGTACTCTGTATTTTCACTACTAGATTGACTACAATGGGGTAGCATTTTAAACATACTTGCTAAAATGGGGTCGTGCGTTTTCGGGATTTGGGGGAAAAAATTCTGGTAGGTAGAAATTTAAGAATGGGTAGATTCGGGGTTTAAAAGTTGTTAAATTTTCCCAAGAGTGACTGATGTAATTGGCCGCATAATAAACTATAATGGGGTGGGGGCTGTAGAGGCCAGCAGGACATATCCAGCAGAAATTGACCCTAGTATCCCCTAACCGACCCGACTCTGATGAACAAAATCATAATTCATTAACTTGCAGGATCCAGAAAAGAAAGACCTTGTTGACGTTATGGACGGAAATTTGGAGGCAAATGGACATACGAAGACCAGAAGACGAAACAAATTTAGCTTTTATGGCAGAAGAATGACCGAGAAACGGCTAGTGCAGTATCGCCCCTACACAGACAAGGAGATCGAGAAGTTGGTGTCGCAAGTGGATAATTGGTCTCGCGTAGGGTTTCCTCTCTCTTTTGTGCTGTTAAATATCATATATTGGGCGTTAACCATAAAGTTTGCTTAAAGTAAAAATAGTTTCCTTAGCGGGTGAGCTAATGGCTATGAGAAACGCTGGCTTGAAAAGATTGTCGTTAGCAGCCCTCAAACAAATCAAAGTATCAACTTGCCTGATACAAAATATAGGCCAGCCTAGCATGTAATTCAATATTATTATGGCTAACATTGTGAAGATCGTTTCCGATGAAGTTTCGATGAGGTAGTTTTTAAAGGATATCCCGGGTTCTTGTAAGTTAATAAACAATGAAATTAAAGAAACGACGATTGTAACAATGCCAGTTATGTCAAAATGTTATGAACCCGTTTCATTTTGCCTTTAAGATAATATTATAAGGCAGAAGTCAGAAACATGTTTATATTTCTCTGGGCTGCGCAAAAGCTGTGTTTCGAGGCTAAGACTTGTATCAGTATATCACACTGTCTCTAGCTGCAGCTTGGATGTAACAAACTCCTGATTTCCAGCTCTTGCTAACATAAAGCCTTCCCTTAGTGTTCTTTTTAGAGATTGTGCCCATTTTGTATGTTCCTTATCGTAATCCTCACTCCAATGATAAATGGATTTTATTTTGAGTCAACATTTTTGGTAAAAATCTATTAGCAGTTATCTACTTAATTGTGGCAAAGATTTTCTGGACGCAAGTTTCTTGGTTGCTAAAATTTTTGGAAACTAATCAATGGCTTCAGACTGGCGAGCCAATTTTTAAGTCAATACGACTTCTCTGCTATCAATATGTGTACTTAACATGCATTGGTTAGAGTATAAGTTTGTCTTCAGGAGATTTTCAGTTTCTGAACAACGCTTTAGATCAGAACACAAAGCTTTTGCACGTTTTAGTTCGATTTAAATGTCAGCAACTTCATGCTATGTTACCTTAAAAAACCAAAAATGAACTTTTGGTTTATTTCTTATTCATTATTTTAACATCATTATCATTTTTATTAATATTGTTAATATCATTGTCATCATCATTATTATTACTGTTATTAGTGACTATCATGATCATTATTATTTTGTCTTTCGTTTAGTTTGTTCTGGTGACAAAATATTTAGAAAAAACATTTCATAATAAAAAGTATCGAGATTAAAGTATGACGTTTCGGCGCCGACATGTCACCATTATCAAATGTAAATTATTATAAGTTCAGTGATATTTTATAAAGAAGGGAAACGATAATGGTGACATTTCGTCGCCGAAACATTGTGTTTTAATCTCGATATTTTTTATAATGAAATGTTTAGTTTGTTAACATGCAATTTGGCCACCCTAATGCATTCTGGGACAGCTAACGGAAATGATGGCCTTACTAGTGACATGTTAGCATATCGAGTCACCACTGTAACTTATTTTCTACGCAAAGCGTTTCTTAAGAGTTGAAAATGCTCCTTTTAAATATCTCTCTACTTTCTTTGAAGAAATCGTTGGTTAACTAGGATTCATGCGACTTATACAGCACTATTTTGTTTGTCTACGATTAACATAAATTTCAACTGGGTTTCTGAAGAAGAGAACTGATCTACCACAGTTTCGATATTCATTCTTTAGAGCAAAAAAGTTGCAAAAGAGCTGAAGTTCAGAGAGAAATTTCACATCTTTGTCATCGTGGTAAAGCCAGGAACAAAATTATAAAGAATGAAATGATTTATTTACTTTTCTTTCAATCCTCCGGAAGCTCAATACCCCTCTTGTATTATAAAAAGGGCCTCTTTCCTGCTGGTTGATTCATTAAAAAGCTAGCTGTGCTTATTTCATTAAAATCTTGCCTGCCCGACCGAAAGCTGGACCAACTCTGATATTTGCTCTGGGCGCCATTATAAATATGGGCCCGCGGTGAGAGATACCTACTGTCATTTCCGTAAATATGGCACAACATCCTAACTCGATTTGTTCAATCAGGTTTAAACCCTGTCTCAGACTGATCGGCTTATGCATTTCCTAATGCCATAGCTCTCTGCCTTAAAAATTGAAAAAGAGAGAACTGAAAATAAGCTATTTCTTAAAGCGGGAAGTACATTCCAGCCTCTTATTCCAATATCAGGATTGCCGACTAAATTTATGGTCTTAAGTAGCAACTCAAATTTTCCGGAAATATTTGACCATGTTTTTATACGGTTAAGTAAAAATAACCATAGTCTTCCGAGTATTCGTTTGGCATAGTAGACTGCTGGTATTTGGAAGCAAATCAAGACAGAGCTAGATGATTTGCTTTTATCAGATGAGTTGACAAAGAAAATTGGCCACCGTAAAGAATAAGCTGACGTTTAAAGCGTTGGCCCTTCGTCATTTTTCTCTGACGAAGGGCCAATTCACATTATCAACTCGGTTGATAAAACCAAATTACCTTGTCATACTCCCCACCGACGCAGCGCCACAGTTTCTTCAGGAACTAACCTCTTTTAAAACCTCCTATTCTATTTAAAGCCACATGAAGAATTCGAAATAATTATTACTAAGGCAAAAACTCTTAGATTTGTGCAGAAATTTTGGTACCTGATAACTGCATCAAATTTCGCGGACGACGTAACAATTGTTCTACGACGGTGCGCCGAACATAAATAAATAATCGAGGTGCGTAGCGCTAAGTTGGTTATAATAATCTCATGTTCGGCAAGCCTGAATAGAAAATATTTTTTTAGTCAAAACGTATGTAAATAAATAGCTCTGCCAACTCTTTGGTATGACAAAGACTGGAAGACAAAAACAACTTTCGTTCCAAAAACGATAATAACATGATTGACAACTTTGTGAACAGGAAGGTCGGTGAATGACCGAGTCGAAAACTGTGTATTTATCAATGGAACAGTCGACATCCTGAAAGTTTACAAAGCTTTAAACACTATGAAATAGCACAAACTGAAACGCTTTTACGTGGGTGGGCCGAAATTATTGTGTTTACACAGGGGAAGGGATCGAAGAAAGCGGTCCATGGTTGCTCAGATCGATTTAAGCGAGGCTTTTTGTGAAATTTGCCGTCTTTTTTTTGGCAGACGAGTCAAGTGGTAAGAATTCAGTTCTTCAGTTGTCAAATTTTTAATGTGTGTTTTAAAATTTTCTCCCGTTGGAACTATAAAAGACACCTTACAGGGTCAGTGGAACATTAAACTCTTACTTGTCGCAAATGCTATCACAAAGTGTAAACAAATCATATTTAGCATTTATCAGATAAAAACAATTTAAACTGCTTAATTTTCTGTTAGATGCGATGAAATATGTTTGTAAATATTTTCATTTTAGAAAATTTTTCGGTGGATGTAAGAGTCGCCTTTTTTACAGTAGTCAGTTCAGTTATTTCTTTTCCCGCCTTTAAGCTCTTGGGAAAAACGATTTTTTCTCTACCATTGCTTTGGATCTCGCTCACAGGAATTGTTCTCTCACTTCGCTGACGAACTCATTAATCGCATCTGTCGGAGGTAGGTTACAAGCTCATATGCCTGGCTCTGTTCGGCCAGTTAGAAGGCTAACCGTGCTCCAGTTGCCATTATTCACGACTATTACATGTATCAGGCCAGAGGGAATGTATTTCACCTGTTGGGATAAGCTAATGAAACGAGTTCCCCTCCTGACCGGATGTGGTGGAAAATTATTCTTGGAAAGACAGAACTTGAAGCATAATTTCTCGGAATTACGTCTATGGCCTTTGTTCGCTCGTGCAAAACGAAGCAATATTTACTAAACTAATTTTGCCTCAGTGCGAAAGGAATAGAGCACGATAACATAGATAAAGAAAAAAGGTGTGAAACATAACATTGAAAAGTGGAGAACAAAAGAATGGAATAGTTATCAGAGTGAAACGTTTTGCTGGAATGGATTCTGTTTGAGTGTTCAAGGTTGGTGTCGTCTCCCTGATAAACAAAATCGCATCTAATAAATAAGGGACTCAAACTAGCTTCGTATGGCAACTCTTTGTAAAGATGATTACTTAGCCCTTGTCGGTGTTCTTTCAGGTGTTTACTGAATCACAGAGTATTTGTGCTCCTCAATGCGTAGATAGCTCGTGCAGCGTATATGATCGGCATTACACGAATTGCATTAAATGATGTGTTTGGAAAGCTTCACTTGTGAGATAGAGTAGAATACAGTGGGTCAAGGTTTTCGTGAACTTACGCGGGCTGTTGACGTTCACTTTTATCCCAACATATTCGACATTTGTTTCTTGAAAGCGTGTAAATATACCATTCCGAATAGATATCGTAAATAATTTTTTGTCTCTATATGCGATCGCAGAAGAAACGCATCCGACAAAATGCCTAAATGAGAGTAAATATTTACCGAACACAATAACTCTTAAATGGGGGAAGACGCGAAAGGCATTCCATTGATGCAATCTTATACTGGGTTGTTTGTTTAAAACTTAGAGCTTCCGTTTGACAATCAACAGAATATCCTGGATTTACCGCCATTTGCTGCCCGATTGCATACAAACATTAAATATTACTTTGGCTCTAAATAAATTTACCTCAATTGAATCGATCAGATAAAAAATTTCCGCCCAGCAGCTCTAATTTGCCCACACTATTAGAATTAATTTACAACTGTGCATGCAAAGAGACAGTGTACGTTCGATCGTTGTTAATGAAACAAAATGACTTCATGTTCCACGTCTGTCACTTGATTCTTTGACAACAATGTTTTGAAAGAAAATATCGTTCTATCTCTAAATCAAAGATTCTACACCGATTCAGAAACAGTACTTAAAAATTAACGATATTTAGTGTGTATTCTAAGCAATCCCTTCTCGAAGCCCAAATCTGTTTGTCATTCACATCCCAGATGGAACTCAATATCTGACTTCGCCTAACAAACCTAACACATTTCCCAGTGAAGTGATGATGAGAACTGAACAGCTCATTATCTGATAAAAACCATGGTATTGCTAAATCAGAACATTTTTGCCACTTCTACCCACAATTGGTCTTCCTACAATTAATTCTATTTTTAAAAATTTACTCTGAAGATAAATTAAGTATGACGTACTAAAAAGTACAGTTTTTTTCCTTAGAGAATGTATTTATCTCTTCTTCAATTTTTTAAATTTCGTTTTGCTTGCTTGTTTGTTTTGTGATATTCTGTAATTCTCATGAACTATAAACCGTCTCTTTGGAGCGACATTCTGTATTACTGTTCCCAAAACGAACTGAACCTTTCGTTTTTCTTAAAACAGGTGCATGCATCCTCTTCCCTCCAAATTAGGTCATTATAAAATTTTTAATTGAGGGAAATGCCCTCTTTTATAACAGCAACAATTTTAATGATCAGCATGTGAAATGCCAGCCAAAAATCTCCCAGTGGAATATTTCAAATATGAGTGAATGTTCCATTGCCCTTGAGATGGCTGCAGACTCCACCATTTTCCTTATTCTCCATTATTCAAAATGATACAAGTACCCGAAGGAGCTCATGGAAAGGTTTTTATTGTAATATGCTATAATATGTCCAGCTGACTCCCCACCCCCTTGCTTGACTGGTTGAAATTACGTAAGCGGAAAATGATTCTTGGAAGGACATATGCTAAGAAAGGGAAAATACATTACGATATTGGTTTTGTTCGTGCAAAGGAAGCCAGCAGCAATAA